AGATTGCACGTTATGTCAGTTTCAAGATTACATACCGCAATGAACAATGCTGTTGAGTGGCCAGGCATCTGGAGCAGGCATACACCAAGCTGGTGAATGTGTTTGATTTGAAGCAAGACAATTTAAGATGGATGCTATCAGTGTGCTTCCAAGGCATTTGTCAAAATAAATTATACCGACATTTATATAAACTGTCAACCTTAATTACTTCAACTTTTTTTTCATTATTATAGATTATTTATGATTTATTTAGTGACACTGTCAGCACCTCAGACTATACAGTGCTGAATGGTCAGATGATTAGTAAATGATGAATTGGAAAGGATATGGAAGGAAGCTGTCAATGAATAATCCAAAGCACTATCCCGGCATTTGCCTGGAGGGACTGAGGAAAACCAGAGACAACCTCAGCCAGGTTAACAGCTACTCCAGCTGAGATTCAAACCAGGCACCCCTTGAATACAAATCAGAAGTGTCAACTCTTCAGACAACTTGTTTGTCTCGATTAATAATAAGCTATTTTGTTGTGTGTTGACTTAAAATACTTAATACAATGAAACTCCCACTTATGGTTTCTTCAGGGAGTAGTGGTTGTGTGTGGAGGGGGGGGACCTCCATGGTTTTAGCCCACAAGCAAACTGTACCAACCAAGCGATGGGCGCGTTTTGGCAAAGTTAGCGCAACTTTGTGGTCTAGTGGTCAGAGTTCTTGGCTACAGATCCAGAGGTCTGGGTTTGATTCCCAGCGCTACCAGATTTTCTGAGAAGTAGTAAGTCTGGAACAGGGTCCACTCAGCCTTGTGAGGATAATTGAGGAGCTACTTGAATGGAAAAGTAGCGACACCAGTCTAGAAAACCAAAATTAATGGACATGGGGATTCGGTGCTCTGACCATGTCACACCCTCTACCTGCTACAGTTGGATGTGAACAGTAAACTGAGGAAAATCTTAAATGGAGGTAGTTTAACACTGGGACTGACTTGGAATCATTGAAACGGAACATTAAATGAGGGAAAACCTTAAATAAATGAACATTAAAAGCTGGTAACCTTACCAATCTGACATGCACAGATGTAATCATGTGGTCTGTTGAGGCATAAGTGACTACAGTTCCCATTGTTATATGTACACGGATTACTTCCTTTCATATCTCCCAGTCGAACTGCCTTCAATCCCATCACGTTGGGCAACTGGTCAACAATAACTTCTCGTCCGTTTCCAGTAACTTTAATTCGATCAATACTTCGCCTCTGCCAGTCTGTCCAATATAAGTAGTCTCCAAGGAGACTCAACCCAAACAAATGTGGTAAGTTGTCGCTTATAACTTCACGACGGTCCTTTCCATCGACCATATTAGCAACCTAGCAATTGAAAAAAAAAAGTAAAAACTTGCACATAAAGAGAAAAAAGCATATAAGAGTTACAGTTTGAAGTACACATATTTTCAGTTTGCTGTGTGTGACTGCATACCTTATAGCAGACTCAGATACAGTACAAGGCAGAGCTACAAACACTGCACTGCATACTGGCATAAATATTTTTCTCTGCATGTCACTATAGATTAACTATATCAAGACGCTCAAAATAAAAGTTGTAGGGGCATAAAGGAAAAGTTAAAATTTCGTTTAAAAGCCGAATTCACTTTTAAAACCTAGAAGTGGCAATACAAATTCCTGAAATTACAGAAATAATCAACATTTTCCTACAAAAATAGGATTCAGAATACTTAACTTATTAAAATCAAAAGCCCCACTTTCAGAGCAGTACTAAGAATTGAGAAGTCAACATTTACTGTTCCCATGTTCAAGCACAAATATGATTTCTCAACTTGACCAAAAATTAATTTTGAAAAAGTTAGAGGACCCTGAAATTCTTCTAAATAACACTTTAAAAAAATCACTTCCTGCTTCAGAGAAAGCACAATATACTTCCATTACAAAGACCAACTGTTTAATGCTCTTTAGGGAAATAACTGTCGTTTATTCTAAGAATCACACAAAACCCAAATTAAATACACTCTGTAGATAAAATGTAGAGTTTTTTTTTACTGTTAGAGCCTATGGTACATACATTAATTTTAAAGA